TTTTTTTTTTTTATTTAAGTCAGGACATTCTTAAGGCCTTATTCAGATTTGCAAATTGCGTGTGTGCGCGTTTTGATGCAGTGAAACAAGTCTTGCTGCATCTTTAATCCTCACAACTTTGTTAGAGTTCCAAAGGAGCACGTGTACAGACCATATAAAATGTACATATGTCCAGCTAAATGTACAACACCTTCATAAGGTTCGGAAGTGGAAGCCTGTATAATTCTGACTTGTGCTTTGAGGAATGTTTCCAGTAATTTGTTGAACCCTGGCCAAAAAGAATTCGGGAAGTTCTGAAAGCAAGCGGTGATATAAACCAATACTTGGTTGGTTTACCACACAAAAGTGACCACTCTGTATACATATTTGGCTTGTAAGTAGGTTTTAAATGTAATTCTACTAAGGCCTCACGTGGATGCGCGCAGCTGTACTGCGTGCAGAAACCTGCGCCCAGAAGGCACAGCTGGTGTGTGTGTGTGTGTGTGTGTAGCCACCTGTACAACTCTGACCGGACACGGCTACACAACACCCCAAACTTACTCATCCATACAGATATGAATGCCCTTGGATGCGGACAGTCTGCGTCCCAAGTAGGTGCATCCATACCTGTAAGGATGTGCAGGTTTGGGGTGGCGTGCAGCCATGTCTTGTCATTTGAATTGAACAGGCGGCCATGCGCACCAGCTGTGCCTCTCTGCAAGGACGTGCACCTCCGTGTGAATGAGGCCTAAATAGTGGTTAACTGAAGATGTGGCTAATGCTGGATGCACTGGCTATTCCTGTATTTTACATGTAAACTCTTGGTGTGCTTTGAACAACCCATGTTGCATAAAAGATTCATGAGCAAAACCCGCCTGATCTATGGCTTGATCAGGATGTTATTCATGTCAAGCACTTTCTTTTAAAGCACCAACCAAATTAAGGCTTTTTTCCTTTGGATAAACTTTGGTCAGACTTTCTGTGTGTCCATTTAGGAGATTTTACCCAATTTCCAATCGTGGTAAAAGATGTGAGGGGAAATTGGTAAAAGTAGTAGAGAGGAGCTTCTGAGCTATAAAAAATACAAAACTGTGATGGGTTGTGAACAGTTGGCTAAAGACGAGTGTTTGGCTCTTTGTTTTCCTCTGATTACTTTGGCGAGCTTGCTTAGTTCTCTGTAAGTCCAAAGTTGGTAACTTTTTTTTATATTTATGGAACCTGCAAATCTAGTCTGCCAGTTTGAACTCTCCTCCTCACAAAATAATTTCTTTCCATGCAACTTAAGCACACAATACACATTGCAATCTTGATTGCGCGTTCTTTAAATTTACTAAAGCTTTGTAATATGGAGACCTACCTAAGCTCTTAGATCAATTTGCATCCAATCGGGCAAGCTTTTACACTGTGTAGTTGTTGGTAGCCCTAAAGGAGATTGTGCAGTGAGCTTATGTTGCATGGAAACATGTTATGAACCCTCTGTGTTTAAGTAAATATGTAAGAATCATTTGGAATGTTAGGTGGAGCATTGTTCTTTTCTGTGGATAGCCATTCAGAAGTAGTTATTTTGTAAACTCAAAAGGGTAGTACAACAGATGCAGACAACAGGTGTGAGACATCAAACTGAGTTAACAGTAATAAGAAAATTTTCTTTTGGCAAGTGAAAACCTTATTGTCCACAATCTTGGTATGGTGCTGTAGCTTTTCATTGCTTTAGAGGATGCTCTTTACAGGTTCAGTTTAAGGTCTGATGTATCTTTTGTGTGCATTCATGATGTAGTGTTAAACTTTACCTTTTGCTTTTATTTCTTGACATGTAGTCCAAATGACGGTATATGATCTAGCCATAACTGAGAAATATATATTTTGCGCTGTTTTTTGGATTAGCTGTTTGGAAGAAACCAAAATGATAGAGGTGTGGGCAACTTAAACTTTGTCATTCCTTTTTAGGTAGGTTCATCTTCTGTTGTCTATTGCCACTGTATGTGGAAAAACAGTTTTGTGCCACACAAGATAATCTTGGTGTTTTATAGGAAGAGCAACATGAGCTGTCCATGCTCTCTGATATTCCAGATCAATAATGCTTTTAAGCGACCACAGACTCTTACATTTGCCCTGCCATTGAACTAAATGACCCGCAAGCCACAGACACTTAGAGAATTTATCAAAGAGGTTGGCTTGTATCAACTTCCAGTACTCCTCCTTGTTTTTTATTTCAGGGTCCTTCATTATTTTTTTTTTCTTGTTGATACTCTTTAAACAAGGCAAGTATTATTACCCTTGTAATATACTGTATTTAATTTGCCTTTTGGCATAAAGGTCAAATTAAATTACTGGAGACCTTATGACATAGGCATCCATATTTATCTGATCTGTTATGCCAGTACATACTTTAGATCATACAGTTGGGCGCTTGCTGTTCGCTTGAGTTGGTCTGTGATTTGTGCTTTTTCCCGGGCACAGTTGATAGTTGCAAGAGAAATGATGTACACATTTCTTAATGTTGCATTCCTGCCCTGGTGCTTGCATGCAGACTTCCGTAAGAAGTTATTGAGTCTTGATACCTGCATCCACCTTAATTGGACCATGAATATTATTTATTATTATTATTATACTGTATTTATATAGGGCCAATAGTTTGCGCAGTGCTTTACAATATAAGGAAGACATTACAATCACAATACAATTCAAGACAAGATGGTAGGGAGGGCCTACAATCTAAAATAGTTCATGCAGTGCACCTTCAAGCTCTAAGCTCCAGCAAAGTTTAAGCAAAAGTGCTTAGATTTTGTTGGATGCCCTAGCAAACACCTGTGGGCAATCTAGGTAGAACTGGGTTTAACTGTGGATTAAATACTACAGACAAGTACATTATTAGATTAGCATTTATTTAGCTTATATAATTGCTTTGCCAGCTCATCCTCTGTGGTGACATTTAGAGGCAGAAGAAATTCTTCCATATAGGAGTTTATCTGTAAGCTTAACGATTTAAATTGCACAGCAGAAGTTTTCTCTTAATAACCAATTAGTTATTGCATGCTATGAAGTGGAATCACTAAAACCAAGGAAGGCTGGGAGGTAAATAAAGTCTTCCCGGACTTCACTGTAGGTAAATGCCTTTTGCTAAGCAATAATAGAATGCTGTGTTTGAATACAGGAACAATACTGTGCTTATTGGTGAATTAAAATATATTTTACTTGTCAGCGTCAAGTTATTTTCCCATCCTTCTCTCACACCCACAGGGCCTACTCTTTCCATGTCAGTGCAGATGGACAGATGCAACCGGTTCCCTTTCCCCCAGATGCCCTTATAGGCTCTGGGATCCCCCGACATGCCAGGCAGCTTCACACGTTAAACCATGGAGAAGTGGTCTGTGCCGTGACCATAAGCAACTCTACTCGTCATGTCTACACTGGAGGAAAAGGATGTGTGAAAGTTTGGGATGTAGGGCAGCCTGGTACTAAAACTCCTGTGGCACAACTTGATTGCTTGGTAAGGCTTGATGATGCTCTTCAATTTTTTTTTTCTTAATATGAATATGGTAAGATTATATAGATATATAGATATAGATATATTTGATCATACATTCTTTAGTACTTGACATTTGATGCAGACACTGATCGACCTGTAGCTTCTGACATTGTCATTAAGTGAACCTGTGCTCACTTTAACTTCCTCAAGTGGCAGGAAGAAATCCAAAGAAGGCATCTAGAGGTGTCTGTATACTATGGTCAGATACCTTGTGGACCTCTCTGGGTGCTTTCAAACTGGAAGAACTCTAATACATAATTGATGATTTCCGTTCCCAAACTTGTGATTGCCTCCATGGGAAATCATGGTGATTGCCTCCTGGGGGGATTCATTAACATCTATAGCTAAAGCCCGGAAGAAGGGGGAGGCTTTCCCCCTGAAAAACCTTGGCTGTGTCCTGATGTACTTAACCAATAAACATTTCTAAAAACACCTTTTAAGCGATATGAACATTTGTACTAGGCACTCTTTAATACACATCCAATAGTCGATTTGTCTTATGAGTGATCAGTTTGTCGTGAATGGAGAGGTAGTAGCTTAGGACCAGAGTGTAGGGTTCATTTGCACCGTGCTTTCGCTGCCATTCTGTGTCCTGGAAGGAAGACTCACTCGACTGTATATCCATCCAATCATTTCTACTTTCAACGCTCCAGCGCCATCATACATACATCCATCAGACTCGTGCCTCACTATTGGTCAGTGAGGCTGTCCATCACAAGGATGGTCCATTAGTTAGGCATGGGAAGGGGCAGGATTAACGGAGAGTACAGGTTAATGGCAATTATCAAGCAGAGTAAGTGTTTTAAGAACTTTTGAGAAGTGACATCTAGACAGTTGATAAGTATCTTGTTTGGACTGAGGGCTATTTTTTATTTTTATTCTAGGTCGCATGCATTAGATATACATCCTCGTTAGTTCCCTGTTATTTTATGAAGATACAAAAGTAGACTGTTTTTTGTTGCGCTCCATTCTATGGTAATATATACAAACTCAGTAGAGTAGAGATTAGAGTAGATAGTATTTAAAGTAGAGATTAATACACAGTAATTTCTTTGGGGGAAGAAAACTGCAGGCGTTGAGCCTAGTATGACCAACTTTTCAAGCATCTTCAGAGTTTGTGTGTTCTGTGCAACATTGGGAGTGCTGAACGTTCACTACTACCTGTCTGTGTAACAGGATGTTTCTAGTGCACAAGATAATGGCATTTCAGTTGCTTATTGAGCCTGGGGGCTGACAGAAATAGGTTGTACGTCTGCATGATGTTGAATCTTGTTCTATGTAGCCCATAAACATTACAATAATTGACTCTAGAAATGAGGTGTGCATGACCATAATGCTTCATCAGTAAAGCCATTTAAAGCTTCTACAATCTCTGGTAATGGATTTATGTAGATTAGAGCTTTAGTAGTTACTTGATTAGGGTATATTTATTTAAATAGAAGAGTTAGCCACAGAGGTGCTAAGAGCCTGCGCAGGCCGCAGGGCAAACAACCTTTTTAGGCCACCTTTTCCTCCCCATGTTGTTCCAAGACGATAATAAAAGGAAATAATTGCCTAGTTCAGTGACCTGCTGACAAGATGCTTTCCTTGTCTCCTAGATGTTAAATGACAAGCAGCTCTTATGTGTATACACATACGTGTATGTCCCAACATGACTGCTTCGTCCAGTTTTTGTCTTTTGAGTTCTTCCAGACGGGAATATATATTATACATACACACACGCTGTTGTAACTTAGATATTGAAATGTCTGTAATTGTGGGCTCCAGTAGATGTGTTGTAAAAGTTTGCATCCTGCCTGATCTGATGAATAATCCTATTCTCACTTTCATCAGGCCCAGGTAACTATTAGCAAAAAAGTATTTAAGCTGCCTGGGGCACCTCTGTCTCAGGAGCAGGATCTAAATTCTAATACTCTACTATCTGAGAATAAGAGAGTATATGTGTTCTAACATCAATTATGAAAGATTTTATTGCTATGACTATTGCAAAGTAATGGCTGCCTTTTTTGCTCGTGTCTTTTACACTTTCTCTGTCTAGGTTATAGGACGTTCATTTTTTTTTTTGTGTGCATGTAAATATTTATGGACACTAATAACATGTGATGTTCAGTATGTTGTGCTGGAGATGAATAACATATTTGTATATCATTGTAGAACCGCGACAATTATATTCGCTCTTGTAAGCTACTTCCGGATGGCCGCAGTTTGATTGTTGGGGGAGAGGCCAGCACCTTGTCAATATGGGACCTAGCATCACCTACTCCAAGGATAAAGGCAGAATTAACATCCTCTGCTCCTGCTTGCTATGCCCTTGCGATTAGTCCAGATGCCAAGGTCTGCTTCTCTTGCTGCTCCGATGGAAACATTGTTGTATGGGACCTACAGAACCAGACCCTTGTCAGGTAAGATTTGACGAAACATAATTTTCTTTCTCATTCATTGAGATTGAGGGACACAGTAATTCAAAGACAGCCGGGTTATACTGCTGCCTTCAGGAGGATTGGACACTGGAAAATGAAAACATTTGTGATCCCTCATACTCCCAACATTCCTTAAGTTTTTTTTGCTAGTGTCCTAAGATTCTACCCTTTTTTTTTTTTCTCTTTTTTTTTTGTACTTTATCTTCAAACAAGATTCCTGCTACATTGCTGCGGAGCTGGTCTCTCTATGATGCTGTCTGGTTCGACTATTTCTAAGCCTGACTTTAGAGTGCTGTACCCAGACCCTGCTGGACAGGATTTGCGGTGCTATCTTGGAGCTTGACCTTCTAGCACTGGGCTCTGCATTGTGGCTCTTTCCAGACCAGAGTGTATTGTGCGCTCTCAAGGTCCATAGCCGTGAACCTGTCTCTGCAGTATCAGTATGGTTCCAGTGAGCCTGGTTCCTTTCTTAGGAACCAGACCTTAGCCTCATTTGGAGTGGCCCCCTCCTTAGTCTTATCCCGGGAGGATTTCACAGCAGTTATGCAGGATTTTATAGGCCAAGTAGCAAATTCAATGCTGGCTTTGACTGCAGAGGCCACAAATGTGCTTTTGCATCTTCCTTTGCAGTATCTTAATCTGATCTGCTTGTGGCTTTAGAGGATTTTAAACCCTTAGCCATCAAGGCTTTGTCTGATGCTGAATCTCTCAATCCAAATGGGTAAGTCTACACAAGAGGAGTCGCAGTCTTTTGCTTTCAATTCCAAACTTGAGGAAACTGTTGGCCATTTTTTATGTGGCACACACCACTTTAAAACAAGGATCAGCCTGTTCAACCAATCTTCAGTGGGAGCTGCTGTCAATCATTACAACAGGGCTGGGCAGGGGGCATGACAGTCAAATGAACTATGAGATACAGGATGCATCCTGTAACTCCAAGCAGAAGGGAGAAACTGCTGTTAGTGACGTGTGCACCATCTTCTAACTTACTACAAATGTATGCCCCCTCTATGGGGAACATAGGCAGGTGCCATATATATCACTAATAACGGTTCTTCCTTCCTGCTTGGATTAACAAAGTTGGTAAGGTTGAATAAAGGCACTGGCCCATCCAGTTCAACTGATCTGTGTGTGTAAACATATTGCTAACAACTCCCATATCCCTGTATATTCTGTAGTACAGGATGCTGCCATGTCTACCCCATAGTTATTTTGGCAGCCCTACCCCATGTCCAGCCCTACTGTGTTGATTGACAAGGCCTTCTTCTAAAAGTCACTGTCAATCAACACACACTAGCTCAGAAGGGAAGGGGGGGCAGTCAAACTATAAGAGTTTGACTGCAGCATCCTGTAACTCCAAGCCAGAAGGAGGAGCCACTGTTAGTGACATGCACACCACTTGTCCACAGCTATGGGGAAAAGGGCAGCGAGCGTGTATGTCTAGCAAGTGGGCAGGCAGCACACACTTCACTAACTGTGTCTCCTCCTTCCTGACCATTGTTTAAAACCTTAAAGGTCTTTACCTTATTTAACAGTTGGCGTGTATAGTGGCGCGTTCACAAATACTTAAAAAACTGGGATATCCTCTACAGCAGGGATGTCCAATCTCCAGCCCTCCAGCTGTGGTGAAACTACAAATCCCATGAAGCATCTCTCTCCAGGAGTCATGTCTGAGAATTTTGCAAAGCCTCATGGGATTCGTAGTTCCACCACAGCTGGAGGGCCGCAGTTTGGACATCCCTGCTCTACAGGGACAGTCAAAATCTTGGTAAGACATAAAATGGCTAAATCCACTGAGTACAACCCAAATTTTAAAGACCTTTTGTAGATAAAAATCCCCTTTCCAAGGCATTATTCTCCCTTCTCGTGTTTTCCCTACAGCCTGCCATACCCATCTGCTAGACTTTAGGCGTCTGGTTCCAGGATATGTCCCGGGAACCTGGATCTATCCTCTCAGATACTGCTGTTCAACAGCTTGAGCTGCCTGTGGCCCTCCTACCGAGTTGATGGGTTAAGGGATATTATGTGCTTAATGTCCATAATGAGGCTCCTTTTTGGTCTGCACAACATCAGTGCAAGAAAAACACCTAAGATTTTTTTTTTTTTGCAGACTAGCTGGAAAGTGTGCTGGGAAATCCGCCTTTGTATTGGGTCCAAAATGTGGTATCAAGGAGCTACAAGCTGGCATTTCAAACTCTGCCTGCCACCTGCTTCATGTTGTCAAAACTTGTTAACGTCACTGCAAAGACTAGCGGTTCTTCACATTGTTCTGCACAGCATCTCTCTCAAGGGGTCTTAGCCATAATTCTGGCTAATAAAAGGTTCAAGGGTTTTTACTCAAACCTGCTTACTGTTCTCAAAGCAAAGAGATATATATGGCTTGCCTTGATCTGATGGCTCTTAACGCTTTCAGGTACGAAATTCCACATGGAATCTACCAGGTCTGTCATTGCTTCCAGGGATCCCCATGGACATCAAAGATGTGTATTTGCATGTCCCTACCTTTCCAGTGCATTAACATTTCATGCATTTTCTGGTGGGCACTCAACGTTACTAATTCTGTTGCCCTTCCATTTGTTCTATCCACTGTGTTCCAGGTTTTCACAAAGGTTCTAGCCCCTGTACTTCTTTTGCTTCACTCTTGAGCATTCCCATATTTGGATACTTGGACGACCTCCTACTGAGAGAACAAGCAGCACAGACTTTTTCAGTCAATGTCCATCAACCTTTTCAAACATTGCAGAGATTTGGATAGAGCATGAACCTCCAGATGTCAACATGACTTATCATTTAGGAGTACCTAGATACTTCTCTGTCCGAGGTCTTCCTTTCCATGTTCTGAGGCTACAGTTTAGGAGTCAACTGACCCTTTGTTTTTGGATGAGGGTCCTGGGCTTAATGGTGGCCTCTTTCTATTTACCTAGTTTCACTCCAGACTGTTGAGACACCACATTCTCGAGGGTAAGGGACAAAATGCTCAGTCTCTGGACCATTGTATGCACCTGCCCACCAAAAATCAGCCTTACTGCATAAGGGTCTGTGTTGATGGGAGTTTGTTTGCATCAGACCTGCTTCTTTCCACATACAGGTTCATAGGAATGTAAACGCTTAAAGCAGGTCAAATGCAGGTTAGAAAGAGGTCAACTGCAGGTCAAATGCACCTGTGAACAATTCTGAATAATCTCGAAAGCACCTGGCTGATGTCATGAGCGAGCTTGCTTTGTCTATCAAAACAAACCCAAAACCTGTCAACACAGGCCCATACATTAGAAAGTGACATATTTTTCTGTCGGCTATGAAAATTATGATTGGTTCTGCTGAGTTCTAGTTGGGACCAACACTGCAACTGCTTTCAGAAATTAAATACTCTTTTCACATATTTGAAGTCAGTTCACAGAGTAGTAATACAGACGCAAAGTTACGTAATAAGGAACTGAATATGATGTATGCTTCATATCAGTTAATACTAACCATTATAAGATGTACTGTCATGTAGACTTTTTCAAAGGTACTTAAGTAAAAAAAAATTTTTTTTTTTAAAGACAATTTCAAGGACACACAGATGGTGCCAGTTGTATAGACATTTCTCATGATGGCACCAAACTATGGACTGGTGGTTTGGATAATACAGTTCGCTGCTGGGACTTGAGAGAAGGAAGGCAACTTCAACAACACGACTTTAATTCCCAGGTACTGGTTGGAATCAGAAAGGTTTGGGGGGAAATATAGTAGCATGTTTGATAAAGTGCTTGAAGGGTTGTGATTTGTTTTGCTGTGTGGGGTGTTGAAGTGGATCAGAGGTCTTTTTGAAGGTAACGAAGTAGGGGTTTTTTCTTTCTAGGCTGTCTGCTGGATTTAGGGTAGTTGCCATTTTGCGGTAAAGCTGAACATGTTAACTAGCCTAATGCCAGACGTCAGTAAAGTCTATAGATATTGCCTGGGAGTCTCCAGAGACCAGCATTTAGCTTGGTGACAGACTTGCTGTAAAACTTTTGTTTGTGTGATATGTTTGGTAAAGTTAACTTTTTTTTTTTCTTCAATTTTGCACCTGCAGATCTTCTCATTGGGCTACTGCCCTACTGGAGAGTGGTTGGCAGTTGGGATGGAGAGCAGTAATGTCGAGGTCCTTCACGTTTCCAAACCTGACAAGTACCAGCTGCATCTGCATGAGAGTTGTGTCCTGTCCTTGCAGTTTGCTTCCTGTGGTAAGTTCTCTGGGGAAGCCAGCTGTGAAGAGCTATTTTGTAGGCTGGTAAAATAAAACCATTAACAAGCCTGTAGTAAACAGAGGGTGAAGCAAAAAGTGAAGGGGAAACGCAGGAATGGTGTTTTTTTTTTTTGTTTTTCTTTAATTTCTTTTGTTTTTCTGAAAAGGGAAATATTTTCATCTGAGCTTTACTCCAAAGAACACCGTTGGCTGCTAAAGGTTTTTGAAGCACAGCCATAAACAGAATTACCTGAAATTAGAAAATTATAACAATAATGTATTTGCCCATTGCAGGGTTTAGTTTATTGCATGAGAAAAATCATGGCTGTCCTAAGCTGAAAATCCTTTTCCACTTTTGGCAGCCTAGAGTATGCACCCATTAATAGTGGTTTATTGATGTGAACAATTGCTGGAAATAAATGAATTTGCTGTTGCACTAGCCTTTGAATGGAAATGTACAGCATAAATAAAATGGAAATACATTCTAAAGAAAGGCAAAGACGTCGAGTCCCACTGTACAGACATTTAAAAGAATGTGATAGGCAATAATACTAGCAGATGTTATTGTTTCAAACACCATATTTAAAAAATGTAAAGCTAGTTGATATCAGTGAAAAATCAAGCCCTGATTGCACAATGTATTAACATTTTAAAACAGTATGCATAGTCTCGGTCTCTAGTTATGTGACAATAACTGGTTCTGGTTTATTGCAACTTTTGTCTATTCTTTCTTGTCATCTGTGTCCTACTTTGCTCCTTCACATTTTGTCTGCTTTGACCCAGACCATTTTGTCCTTTTCAGACCTAAGCTCAGGTTGACCCCAACGTATGTGTATGGTGCATCTATGCTGAACTTGTGACACTGTTGCTTTGCTACTTGCTCCATACCCTGTCTCCAGCTATTCTGACAGTAAATGACAGCTTCTGATGGGATAGAATTCAGCAGCAAAGGATAATTCCCATCTTTGGAGACAATATCCTAGCTCTGTTTTAAGCTCCTGCTTACACAGGGTTTTCCCCTCATCTGCCACCATCCTGACTGAAGTATTGGAAGAAGAGGAGGTGGGAAAGTTGGTCTTTGTGAAAGTAGAGAGGCCAGTGTACTGTAGGATGATCATGCTCTGCAAATCAAGGAAGTTGGGACACCATCAGCAATTTGTTAAAATTGATTTTTGATGCAATATTAATGTACGACACATCTGGAAATATAACAATGGTAATCTGTTTGTTTTCAGGTAAATGGTTTGTAAGCACGGGAAAGGACAATCTGTTAAATGCATGGCGGACTCCATATGGTGCCAGCATTTTCCAGGTGAGTGAATTGTTAGACTCATTTTCCTTTTAGTTAAACCTTTTGTTCCACTTTGCTGCAAGGAAGTAGTACATTCTTATGATTTAAGTAATTATATATAATTATATATGCACACGCACACACGTGCCTTATGGTGGTAGGACTGGGTGCATTGTGGAAATATGCTAAAGTTGCCATCCAGACTTTCTGGGATGATCTACTGCCTACCTACATCTTTTTGCAGTGTGCATTTTAACATTAACCCAGCAAAGCACACTTTTGTTGTACTTAATATGACATGAGTAGTGATAAATGGGTACAAAAATGTTGTATTCACACTTTATCCTCTGTTGAGAGAAATGGTAGAATAAAAATTGTCAATACATTTTGAGTACCTTTTTATCTATTGGACTGAGTCCTACGCTTGACTCATTTTTTTATTTTATTTTTTTTTACAGTCAAAAGAGTCTTCGTCTGTTCTGAGCTGTGACGTATCCACTGATGACCAGTTCATTGTCACAGGTTCTGGTGACAAGAAAGCCACAGTATATGAGGTCATCTACTGAAGACCTCTTTCTTCAGTATCAGTCCCCCTCCTACTGCACGGACCCATGGGGGGTGATCATCTGTTTGGGTTAGTTCTGTTTTTAGGTGTACATTTTAACAGTATCAGCCAGCGTGTATTTAATAATAAAACTGGAGAAAATTGTCAGTTTGTCTCTTTCTTGTTACAAAAGAAACACATGCCATATTGGCAGCTATTCATTCTAGTCATGATTTGAGAGGGTGGTAAGACTTTAGTGAATTATAAGATGTAAGTACTTTTCTGTGAAGTAAATATCTTTTTTTTCCCACAAATAAACTTGTCTAATAAAAGATCCCTTGGGAATTTTCTGCATTTCCACTTAAATGGTTTCTAAAAGGTGATCTGATTTCTAGGCATACGTCTTAAAGACCAGCATTCATTTAACAAACACATCCACACGTCATTTTAAATCATTTCTTCCTTATAGTTATGGCAATGTAAACAGTCAAGATTTATTGATGGAAAATATTTAAAACATTTCTAGGGAGCATGATAAAGAAAACGGAATTTGGAATCAGGTTTTCCAAACTTTCAGTTGTACGTTCATAATATTTTTGGTATGGATTTCACCCTCTCTACTTTAATTATAAAAAAAAAAACCAATGGAGATCACACCTTTTTTGTTAAAGTGTAATATGACTAGGTCAAAATATTTCAGAAGAGGTAGCTTTAGAGACTGCAAATGTGTTTCTAAAGACTGGTTTTCCAGGTTGCTGGTCTGGCTTGTAATGTGCTCAGTCTTTGGACCCTGCATTTGGCACTTTGTACAGTGTGTGGCGCTAGCCATACGGTGCTAAGTCCCAGACAGTGATCTATATCTGGAGCTCTGAGCCCGAAGACTGCTCGTGAGGAAGCCCATCTGGAGGGGAATATCAAGTGGTTGGTTCGTGCTGACTGTTGCACATTGTAAGGATCAAAAGCCCTACAGGTAAGCCTCAGCCAGTCCCCACAGGTACCAAAGAGGCAACCCCAGTTCCCCAGAGTTCCAACTGCAGCTCCAGTGCAAATTTGGTGTTGTACTTTTAGAAAGTCTAGCTTAAGAAATTGAATTTGACGCAATAGGTTGTTTCACATGCAGCCTAGGTGCCAGGGGAAGGGGGGGGGTCACACAGTCTGATCTGATCCCTGCTCTGGTGATAGTCCTGGTTTGGTATACATTCAGTCCAGTGTCTTAAAAGGTGCTCATGACTAATGCCAGCCGGTTGTTCTCGGCTGGAACCCTGGAGAGCCTCTTGGTCTAGGGGACCTGGTCGGTGGCGGAATTGCAACTCCCAGTAAACCTCCCAGGTGCTCAGAGTAATTTGGTTGTCTCCAGCACTGGACCTCCCAATTGCAGGGTCATCCAACCAGGATTCAGATGTGGCTTGCATCCACCATCAAGGAGGCACCAGAAGTCGCGTGACTCAGAGAAGCAAACCTGGTTCTGTCCTTGTCTGCTGTTCACATTCCAGGCATGAAAAATTCTATGATTTGGAGGGCAACTTCCAAGTAAACTTACAAAACCCTATGCTTATAAATTCCCTTACATTTTAGACCTCGGCAGGAGAATCTACAGAAAGGACTTAAACTCATGTACTTAGTAACAAGTAGTACAAATTACAATTGGTTACAAGTTGAGCACAATTTTTTCCAACATTGAACCCAATGTCACTATATATATATTGCCCAGCAAAATATTCATTTACATTTTTGCCCAAGCAGTCCTACAGTCATGTTTTCAAATATCTGACGCCAACTTTCTTAGCTCCATATCCCTGAACATCCTGTCCTGTACACAATCACAAGGGATACCACAATCTCCAGCAGATGTCCCTCTATTTGCTTTGAGGAGGCGGGAGCAAGGAGCAGAGATGTGGGTTGCATTGCTGTGCCTGTGGAGACTCACAAGGCTTACTAACGCACACACAAGGGTGGTTCCATAGCAACTTTGCAAGGGAAAGGAACCTACCTAAACAAGATATTTGGGACAGTGCTGAGAGGACCAGTGGACTGCAAGAAACAAACTTTTAGCCATCAAGGAGAAGCATTCGTTGTAAGTAAATTAATCAGCATTTGAAATGGCTTAAATGTGTGTGTGGTCTCCCAGCTGATCTTTTTCCAATTACTAACTTACCATGCCTGGTTCTGCACTGTTGTCTGTGGAGACAGACATAGGAAACAGGGATTTGAAGAGAGGTATAACACCACAGCTTGGAGATATGTTATAAAATAGAATTTATTATACATTCAATAAATAATATAAAAACATGTATACAAAAGATTGCACTATACAAAAAACACCGCTATTATTGTCAGGAGCATAAGCCCATAAATTGTCTCACATCCCCATATGTCCAACAACATTCATTTGATACCCAATATATGTTCAATTGGAGATTAGTATATCCAGTCCCAACGCGTTTCACATACTGCTTCCTCAGGGGATCATGGACTAATCTAACAATAAAAATGGTATATGAAATGAATTCACCTGAACAACTTGTGGCCCCAGGGTCCCCGAAGCAACATTGGACGTAGTGGTTGTGTCGGTGGATTAATATCCCCGTCCCCACTCAATACAGGGATCTCTGCCCCTCTCCAGACACTTTAAGTGTGTGGTAAGTGCCGGGTGTGCATTATTGGTAATGGGGCTTTTTCTGTTTGGTTTGACTGCCAAAAGTTCTTTTTATATCTTGCACAAGACCCATATGGACATGTTATATTGTTCAGGTGAATAATTTCATATACCATTTTTGTTAGATTAGTTCATGATCCCCTGAGGAAGCAGTATGTGAAACGCGTTGGGACTGGATATACTAATCAAGGACTTTATTGTATCAAGAAGTAATAGACTTGACATATGGCTATGTAGATTAAGAGGGAGTTGTACATCACTTGAGATTCAAGACAGGATTTTCTATATGTACACATTTTATGACATGTACTAGCACATTTTTTTTTCTATTCTATGTTTATTATGGTTTATAATATCTAGACCATTAGACCTAGAGTTTTTTCTTACTATCAGCACAGGCATTGTGCAACACAGGTGTTGTGTATGACACAAAATTGTCTATCACTTTGTGACAATTTCACATTTCATACTATTTTTCTCACATTTTAGGAATATTTTTTGAGTTTGTGAAGCGCAGTGCCATTTTCTTTTTTCCTATTTTGGGTGTGCTCTCCTATTAAGCACAGCTGCTCTTAGAGTGTTATTTGATTCCTAGTGCAGTTTTTTTTCTAGCTAACATTACAGGGTACTACTTAGTCACAATGCAGATTTCTAAATGTTGCCTATAACATACTTTTTTGAGTGCAAATCCACTGGAATCTTCAAATGGCAAAGATTTTTTTGCCACAAAAATCACCAATTTCAACTCGTTAACATCTAATGGATGGAAATGGGTTTCTTTATATTTCAAAGGATTCTGACAATGATGGTAACAATATTGAAAAACGTTATGGAAGTCTGAGACCTTGGTGTTCCGGATATCCCAAAAATCTGAAACAACTGATTTTAGCAGTGAGAAAATCGTGATCATGTGGTGGGGTGCCCCTTTCTACGCTCTTGCTTTTTATTAGTCACAAAATCTGATAGTAGCCTGACTGGCCAATAGGTAGCCAGAAAAAAAATAGAGCAAATTGGGCATATTAAAGCACCAGAGTCTTGGAGCAAAAAAGATCATTTAAGTTCAAGGTGAAAAGAAAGGGCCATCATAATGTCATCCATCTCTGGAGAAGACAGTCAAATTGTCTTGCTTATGAGTATCCATATACAGATAATTGAAAAGGCCATTCCACTTGGTTGGTTTCTATGTCCTTGGCCAGGGAAGCTTTAACCACAACAGAGAAAATTTGTGTAATGGACATTTTGGGTAGTATGCATAGTCCGCCAAAACCATATCCCAAAGACATCTCCAGGCTGTGTTTTGGTAAGCAGGATTTGTTGGCAGTGGTCTTTCAGCTAGAAATCCCTGTCTACTGCCATTGAAGGAGAAGTAGTAGTATTATTTATACAACATAGCAATTCACTGCCTTCTGCTATTAGTAAATGGGCCTGTGACAACACCGAGAAGGTAATGGTGGGAGGGACTTTTCACCTGTTCTGCCTTTTTGGTCTCTATCAGGAGGGCAGTCATCTTCTCTGGGCTGTCATGAAGGAATATTTGTAAATAGTCCCATAGTTCTGCAAATGATGTAAAAAAAAAATATATATATATATATATATATATGTTTATGGAAGTGACCATATTTGAACATTATATATCCAACATATGGGGGTTTTTTCTTGATTGTATTGCACAGTGACTGTGTTACTGGTAGGGACAAGAATGCCAGTCTGATCTGACTGAGGACAATTGACTCTTTGTGGCTAATTGACCTTATCTCAATGATCCTTAACAGGGATGTAAATCACTTCTTGTTATACAAGTAGCCACTAGACTTTTAACAAATGCATATGAAATACAGTCATCAAAATAGAATAGCAAGTATTTGAAAGTCAAGAACTTATTTCTTCATCGTCCATTGAGAGAGAGAGAGGAATTCAGTAACAGTAGGGCTATGTTGTCGCTTATAGGAGGTTGGAACACTGACCAACAGAAAAGATTGTAAGCCCTCCTCTACTACCCAGCACACCTCAAATTTGTCTAGTTTCCTAGGAGGGTGAATGCCTTTTCTTCAGCTCTGCTTTTATTTTTTCTAGCTGTCTTTTGATATATGTTTTCTTTGACTTCAATCAAGATTCTTGTTATACCACCAGTATTTTTATTCTCTGTGAATACAATCAAGATTACTTTATTGCTGCTTAAATTGGTCTCTATGTAACACCTAACTAGATTGGTGTATCCTAAGTAGGTTTGGAGGCTGTACTCGGACTCAGCTGGATGATTGTAGGGCTAGCCTGGAATGTGAGCTTTGGGCACTCTGCTCTGCTTTGTGGTGCTTTCTGAAACTTTGTGTACCATTTTTAGATGGCCTCTGAGCCCTTTTAGGGTATAGAGCTGTGACCTTGTCTAGACTCAATTAGCGGGTAAGGTCAGCCAGACTGAACAACCAGGAGCTACCTCACGGTTGCACCATTATCAAAATTCACCCCCCCCCCACTGGTTTTATTGCTGTGAGAGGTATGGCTGTGG